ACGACTGCAATATAACGTTTTATCCACAATCACAGGCCCAAATTATTCCAAACTTAATTACAAATTAAACTGACATTTAAACGTCACGCCAAATGTGCTTTCGATTAAACGTAGTAAGCTGTTACGCGGTGCGCTGGTTACTAACAGTGAAATAAAGTTACTTTATTCCACTAGTGGATAAAGTGGTAGTTTATACGCATCTAAAGCGTGGCATAAAGTCTCTTTATAGAGTGATTGTGGATAAAAGTATTAAATAAAAAGAATATTTAATAAAGTATTGAATAAAAAGTATGAAGAAAGCGGATTTTTATCATTTGCCTTCAGAAAGTAATAATTAATTAGAATTGAAGTGCTAGAAAACATGTGATCGTGTTTTGAGAATGAAATTTTGTTTTGCTTTTGTGTTATGCGATGTTTTTTGTCAAAATTGTAACTTATATGATTTATTCGCAAACGTCACAAAAGTGACCCTTAATGACTATAGATGACATAAGTAAAAAATTTACCTTTCAGGCATGGAGTAAAAACTCTATTTTTTGGCTTAAGCTTTTACTGACATTTACCAATGTTGTCTCTTTCTTATGTCTTTTGCTAATTCAGCAATTTTTAGAGTTTTTGCACATACATTGTAAATTATCAGCGTTCGGTCGTCTCTGACATAACCTACATTCTTGGGATTAAAGTAGTTGTTTATTCTTTTGGTACATAAATAACTATTTTTTCCATTAATGGTTAATACTCGTATCATGTACAAGCTTTTCCAGCTTCTTGTAATCATAATATTACACGTCGAAAACAATTATCATCTTAAATAAAAAATAAATAAATACTTACATAAAAATTAAAAAAGATGTATTAATGAAGTAGATTGTTTATCAAGTAAAAAGTCAGTGATAATTTCTGGAAACACATTTAAAGTAAATAATCTACCTCCACGGTAAAAATATATTGTTATGAATAGAAATTGAGTCTCAAATAAGAGAGGTAGATGTCGAGTGTTCACATTCACATATCTAGGTACCAAATAAGAAATAAGAGAAGTTTCAGAAGGAATGATATAAGAGGTTCTCGAAATAGTGAACAATGTAACAAAAGAGGCAAAGTGCGTCTATACAACCTTTAAAATCGATGAAGTTGTCACTGTCAAGCTTTGTAGTGTTTATAAAACAAAGCTTTCAACACCTATCGATGTGAACTATTAATATACACTCAATTTTCAAACAAAAGAAACACTTTTGTACTCAAAGGAAATTTATTCCTAAGACTAAATTTTAAGCCAAATACAAAGTTACCTCAAGTTTGTTCATTTATATTCAGGAGTATAAGAAAGGAGCTATTTAAATACTCTTTGATGTGGCTTACTCTCTTTATTCTTGTACCAACAAACTATTACTCTATTCGCTAAGAAAACAGATCGGAAAAAACGTTCAATGGCCGTGCGGTTTATTTTTGTGCTTGAAACACTTAAATAAATAAGTTCTTGTGTAGAAGGAGTTTCGATAGACACTTCTCCAATCTTAAAAACGCCAGCGATCGTTTCCAACAAGATTCACTTTGTTAGAATGTAGGGCGCGGAGTACCCAAGCGCAAGTAATGCCGCCAATATCTCTACTTAACATTTAATAAAGGTCGATGATATTAATAAATTTTGGTTATGTGGAGATAATACTTGTAAAGTTACGGATACGGGTAAAAATCACGCCGGACAAATCCTGGAATAGAAAAGTAATTTTGCTAAAAGGGAGATTTGTGAATGAAACTGAATAAAACCGAATCGGACATAAACATTTGGTATTATGATTGATTACATAATGTAATCCCAGATGGTTTGTATCACACCGAGTGTGATTATGTGCTGTTTGTGTTGGATTAGCTAATTGAGCAATTTCTTCATAATGCAGAAACTGAAACGTGTCGAAATTGTTGTATGTGTTTACACTTCCTGTGGGATTAACAGACCAGAGGACATCCAGTTTCTGTCTAGTGACCCACAATATTTGCACTGATGCAATTCTAATATATGTGAGCAACATATTGCATAATTTGCAAATAGGTTTAGTTAGTTTGGATACGTGTGAACAATTTTAATAAATAATTTGATTGTTCAACTTGGCCTTGCCTGAACAAATAATAGTAAATTATAAAAAAAATCGAAGTTATTGGTAAGCAACGGTACCAGTTTTGGCTTCAACTCGAGCTTCGGTTTAAACATGTTTGCGGCGTAAAATAAGTAGTAAATAAGACTGCCAGTCTGTTAGTTAATGTTAAATATAAACTGTAGTTTTCTACAAAAGTAGCTGCCGAAACCAATAAAAACTTCGCGTGTGGTTTAAGAGAAATGAATAAATAAGAATAAACATAGAAAATGTACGACAAAAATGCACGAAATAGCTGATCAAATAATTGTATTTTCTTAAATTTATATTTTAAAGATTTAGTAATGTGCTTTTAATAAACTTGTCAATAAAGAATTAAAATATGTATTTCTTTGAAAACTTTTTTTCTTAATTTATTTATTTACAGAATCCGGGTAGCTAAAAAAAATAAAGCGTATAAATCTTTATAAATTCTTTAATAATTCTAATTACTACAATAACTGCTGAAATTTTCAACTTTCTTTTTGTTACTGTTCTAAAACAATTTTTTGTCTGTTTGCTATCTTTTCCCGCAAGATATAAATCACAGTTTTTTTTTTTATAAACTAAGCCATATTTATTACACCACACTTGTACGAGTATAAGATATTAAGAACTGATTTGAAAAAAGCGAATTTAATTAAGAATTGAACTAAATCGAATTAAGTTGTCATTTACTTTGCATTGCAAAAAGTCAAATCAATTGTGAATTAAGATTTGATTGCAATTCAACTCGTACTCGTATATGTAGATTGCACATTGATATCAAATAGCAATAGTCGAGCGTTCTAAACTTGTATCAACGTAATTATAGCAAACCTCAAGCAAAATCAGAGAACAAATTCTATCTTTTATATCTACAGGGAATTATTTTCAATTTTCTCGAATTGTGGAGAGAAAATTATTTCACGTTTTGAACGTAACCAGATTTAATAAAAAAGCACACGCGTAAAATTACTTATATCAATCAGAGTGATTAATCTAAGATATTACATATCTATTTATTTATTACATAAATCTCGTTAAAATGTAATGAAAATTAGCGTGAGTGAGTAAACTTTACACTGATTTTATCGAGAAGGTAAAAATTTACCATATACGAGTACATTTACATATCAGCATGTTTATAGCAATTAAATCAAAAAAATTATTTGGAATTAGGTACTTAATAAACACAAAATTTTACAAAACGTCTTTCTGTACTAACATGGTGTGTTAATTTACAAAAATATCAACATTTATTTTATAAAATGAAATAAATCGTAAAAATGATAATTTTTTTCTCCTGCATTTCCTATTTTTTACAGTTTTACCATAGAGGTTTTAAATAAGCAAATTAAACTATTAAGTAATTTTTAAATAAGGTGCAGATTTTCTTCTCATGCACGATAAAGCCTGCCCACATGTTGCCAGAATTGTGAACTCTTACTTTAACAAGATTGGAATCGCAACAATGGTATGGCCAGCACAGTGGTCCTGATCTTAATCCCATCGAACATGATTGGGATCATCTAAATTGGTGCATTTGAGAACAACGAATTTAGATTAACACACTAGATAGACCTATAAAGAAAGAATGGAATGAACAACGGATTCAAGCCGCTATTGGAGTCAGAGATGGAAATACAAGATACTTTCAGCTTTCACAGAAAGCATTTTTTTATTTTGTTACTTGAACTGTTTTCTGTAAGGTTGGTAATTTTACAGTACCGATTATACAGGCTGATCTAAGGGTGTGCAATTGGTCTATTAATTGATAAGTACAGTATGTCCCCGGATTGAGTTTACAAGAGGAAAAAAAAATATCTTTGATTTTAGGCCAAAACTGCAAAGGAAAAACTTTTTTGCTTTATCTGAAACGAGCGAATCTGTAATTAAAATTATTCATTATTCTGAGTCAGTGGAACGAAAAGTTAATTTTTGTCTAGATTTTGGACTAAAATAAAACCGCCAATGTGATAGGTCTTAAAAAGCAAAGAAAACTTACTTCTAAGTCCAAAATTAAGAAAAAAAATATAACTTTTTTTTTCACTGAATTAGAATAATGAGGTTTTAATTACAGATTTGCTCGCTTGTTTCAGATAAAGCAAAAAAAATTTCCTTTGCAGTTTTGGCGTAAAATCAAAGATAATTTTTTTTCTCATTGTAAACTCAATTCGAGGACATACTGTATATTAATATTGACATGCCTTTTCAACGTTCGGTAGATCTATTTAAAATGTGCATTTTTTAAATATTTTTATTATACACAAAGTGTTGTATACAGGGTGGTGAACCAAAGTTATATTTTTTTAAATAGTGCACTCTATATAGTGTTCTAGAAGTAAACCGCCATACCTCAACCAGTGATTATAGAAAACGTTATTCTGAAAAAAAAGTTTCTATCTTCATTCGTTAAAGACATTGGACATGGAGTGCGTTTGAGCTAAAAATTTTGTTGTCAACATAGGTAGGCAACACATTAAACTCAATGATGGCAACAAATGGGTCTAATGTACTGTACAGTCAGAGAAAAACGTTTTTTTTTTGGTTTGCTAATCCATATGTGTAGTGTTGGGAATTTATTTAATGATGTTAAAAACAACAAATATTCAAACTAAGTAGATTTTTACCTACAAATTCAAAGTCAAGACCATATCAAACTTTTTTTTTCGCGATACGATCAATTTAAGGTGCTTACAAAAAGCTTTTGTTGCATACAGTTTATTATAATATCATTATGAAACGGTATTCTTGTTTATACAGGTGTTCCGTTTTTATTGTTACATATTTAAACAGGTGATAGAATATTCAATTTTAAGACAAAAGTTTCCTAAGAACATGTATCAAAAAATGTTATGTAGACGAGCTACACCAGCTGAGATAAATGCGTTTTTTAATGGGATTTTTTCACTATTGCAGAATAGATAAAATTACAAGTTGATACAGCTAATAACCTTTAAACACCTGAACGAATTCACAGATTAGTTTCAAAAAAATTTTTAATCACAGGCGTCTTAAACGGTAAGACAAATTTAATTTTTAACTTTTATCCTCTTTATGGTCTGTAACACAAATGTGTAAACTGATATTACTTAAAAACGGTAAGTTGTATCGAAAAAACGCAAAAGATCTTTTTTTGTGAAAAACTATAAAATTTAAAATTGTGTGGCTTAAAGTGGCAAGAACCAACAGCTAAAATAGTTAAAGAACTTTTTCCCTAAACCCCCTAGTTTAGGACGCCCCTAAGTAAAAATTTCAACATTTTATCTTTGAATTCGTTTGGGTGCATAAAGATCATCAGTCGTACCAAATTTTGTAATTTTATCTACCAATGGTTGCTGAAATATTGGAAAAAATCCATTAAAAAATGTACCCCTTTCAGGGGATGTAGGTCCCTTAGTTAATATTTTTCAATACATGTTCATAGGAAACTTTTATCTTAAAATTGAATATTCTATAAATATTCTCATAAATGAATCGTTTTCGGACTCATACGAGTATGTTTATGTTTATGTCATACTAAAGTATTATTTAAATAAAACTTGGAACTAAGCAATTGTTTTTGTGATAAAAAACGACATATAAAAAATCACTGCTGAGTCGGCTATAAATATATTTCTGACAAATTTGTTGCAAAAGAAAAATTTAGAATTGCATATAGTTTTAGCAAATAATCGACTAGATAGACACTTTACAGGTTGCACTAACCCGCAAGAAGTTGAATAACTTATGATTTTTATTTAAATAAAACAGCCTGTATTTGTTTTCATATACAGAGTGCGCCAGAACTCGCGCCCCAGAGAAAAATGCCATATAAGGTTAGATACCAGGAACATGAAAAAAATGTTAAAAAAAATATCTATAATAATGTCGAAGTTATGAGGGTTTAAAGTTTGCACTTTGACTATAGGCTATTAAAAGAGGAAACAAAGAAGCTGTATCCTAAATTGTAACTGTGTTCAATGTTATTTGTGGCTTTTATTGGCAAAATTTTTGTCCCTTCACTAAATAATTGTAGAAAAACATATACCAGATCATTAGTATCCTGAAATACACATAAAAAAATGTCAAATGTCAAAAAATAAATGTCAAAATTTATAGTAAATTTAAAATATTTCTCAGTATTTTCAAAAAAAAGTTTTTTATGATCATTAATCCTGTTACTATATCAACATTTATTACTCTACATTTTAATTACTGAAAATAGTATATTCTGTGACAAGTTTAAAATACAGGATGTCCCATCAAAGTGTTGATAAAGTCCATTATTTATCTTTAAATAAGTATTAAAATTTTACAAAAATTATATTGGCAATTTCAAATATACAGCGTGTCCCAAAAATCAGTTACAATACAAACTTGTGTTTTTAATTAATAATAAGTAATTACGACACCATATTATGTTTCTTTGCTTTTTTATAGATGTAGCTTTTAATTTCAATGTTTTCAGGCTAAACTTCTATTAGTTATTTTGCTTAGTTTTTGAAATAAATTGTTTTTTTTTTCTCGCTGGGACAGCGTGTATATCAAATATGCATGTATAGCGTATATAAATAAATAAATAATGATAATTTTCAATCTGTAAATAATTTGCGGGCACGAAATTTTGAACGATTTGTCATTCGACTGGCACAAAAATGTAAAACGGGCTTTATACAACTAACATCACTTTCGATTTTTGTAATTTTTATCCTGACAGCTAGAGAAAAAATGACAACAAATCACAATAATTTATTGAACTTATAGAAAAACACGTAGGTATTGTTGGCATAATTGTTCCGGAAAAAATCAACGCAGAAAATAAATTTCAACTAAAATTTTCAAATTTTAGTTTCGAACGTCAATCATAATGTCATTTTTTGAACTGACATAAATTTGATTATGTATGCCATAAACTAGCGCCTCGGTTTTAAACTTGAACAGTTTACTGTAACGTTGCATCAAAAAATAACTTGTTTCATCTAACCTGCCCTCTGTTGATTAGTAGTCAAACTATGTTTAGAATTGCCAAATTTGAAAATTTGGTCGTTGGCCGATGATGTCACCGCTTGTGGTACACGCAGCCATCTTAATTTGCGCGCGTGCGCGTTGGCTGTCAGAAAGTGCAGCATAACCGGGATCTGTCACCGAAAGTGTGTAAAAAAATTGAGTTTGTAGTTGTTTTTGGTGGTTACATCCAGTGATAGGTTAAAATAATGGCGAAGCCCGAACAGGTCCTACACATCGAACCCCAGAGCGAGCTGCGATTTCGAGGTGAGCCCTCTCGACGATATATTGACCTATTCCACGATCCGCCAATAACAAATAGTTGCCTCTAGCCCAAGGAATCTATTTCAAGATTTTGACGTGGTCGGGGGCTCCTGCCACGCCACCCCCGAGTTTGCCAGGGCCGGAGCGAGGCGCGGGCCCACATTAACGGCGCCTCAAAATCGAATGTGATGCGCGAATTATTGCATATTCATGACACAAAGTGCGAATGAAGCTGTCAAAATACGAGAGGTTAGCCAGATTCGGGGGTGGAATGCGTCTACAAACGTTACACTAGTGAGGAAGTCCGACTGACACAATGTGCGAAGCCTTACATAAGGTTTATCATATATCAATATCCCGCGCCGAGGGGAAGAACCGATCTTGACACAAATTTCGACGAGATGGCAATATTTTTAGTTACCTAAATATAAGTCTAGTACATGCTTGAAGCATATTGTAGATCAAAATTTTGAAAGACAAGCTTGTAACAATTTCTACGAAGCGACTAAAATTCCACCAAATCATGTGTGTCTGAGTTTTAGATTGATCACTTTTTCGGATTGTATTACTAGACATGTTAAGTAATGCATATTAACACGATTCAAGGTGTTTTCGTCTTAGGTTTACATTTGATATACTTACTGTCACATGGACTGTGTTAACACCGTCTATATTACCATAAATTCAATATTCGCTATGATTACCATACAAAATGTCTTGACCTGAAAGAAAAGAACTATTCAAGAAATATTTTGAAGTTTACATTTACATCACATTTTTACTAAAACGTCATCGAAAAAAGGCGTAAATTAGTGTTAAAAGTTTGCAACTACTCGCTTATTGTCTCAAATAATGTCTTTTTGATGGCTTTTGTTTGCGAAGTTCTACCGTCTGTTAAAGATTTGACATCTCACTGAGGCATATAATGAAACTGACAAAAAACGAGGCTTTGTTTTAGCAAATAATCCATACTTCTTGCTGCGACGCTTAAGAAAACCTTTTTTTTTCTACCTATAACTGCAATTACTAGTATATTACATAACGAGCACGGAAAGTGCAATACCGCGAGTGCGTTAGAAACTTTCTTGCAAGTTTTGTACACTATTTTTCCTACGACCATAAATAATTTTTTTCTTACGAACATATTTTTTTTCATAACGATTTATTTTTTATAATGGATACAAAAATACGTTGAATAACGATTTATTTTTTATAATGGATACAAAAAAAAAATACGTTAAATGAAAAAATACAAAACATTCGAATTCGAAATACAAAACAACCTCGTACGATAATGTCAATTTTCGCGCATATATAATTGTGCGTTATGATCTAGTTTCGTATATGGTCGTAGGAAAAATATTTTTACAAACATATTTGAGAAAAATTGTTAATATGATTATTTCAAACGTCCCAACAATTAAATAATGACATTTTTGTATTAAAAAAATCATTTGTTTAACATCACGTCTCATTATTTCACAGAATTGTAGTGTTTTAAATTTTGCTACTTTAAAATTTAAGAAAAAAAGAAACAGTCATATTACATATATTTTTTTATTTAATCAATTAACAAAATCGGTTTTAGGTTGTTCTTAAGACTGAAACTCTGTATATTAGTGACTCCAGTCAGTAGAAAATACAGGGTGTTTCCCATAATTTTACGAGGCCTGTAAGATGCAATCATTCCGATACGAACTCGATTACAAATTTTGAAAATTTGGATAATCTTCCTAGTTTGTTCACCCTTTCAAAAATTACAACATTTTTATTTAGTTAGTGATTAAGATAGATAAACTAGAATCATATTTATGCCGTCTCTTGATATAACAAATGAGGATTGTTTCTGAAAAACTGCAATTTATGACTATTAATGAAACAGTGATTAGTTTGACTACTGTCATTACTGAACTACTGTCATGGGTTTCCAAAAATTAAATAATTAAATGTGGATTTTTTGTATCTAGTGTTTTGTGAATTTTGTATATTTGGGTGCGTACATTAGGCACAAGCCTAAAGTTATGTGAAACACCCTATATTTAGTTTTAGATTTTAGCGATTTAAAAAGAAATGTAAAAAAAACACGCACTACTGAGTAGGTTTTTCGTCGTTTAGGTAGACTATTATATTGAGAAAATCATCTTCTTATACAAAATTAGCCAAAAAAATTAATACGAGATATTCTTGTATTCAGAAATCTAATTTTAAAATCTACACTAAGTAATCAACTTTTATAATAAACTATTTATAGCAACTTGAGGTTTCTCACTAAAATTAATTTAAATGCTGTGATAGTCTGTTACACAGTTAGTATATTATCTTTGAGGTATTTTCGTCTATGAAAAAGCCACAGACTCCCTCAAAAAAAAAAAACAACTGGCGTTACTTGCATTGCAAAACAGTCACATTTATTGTTTTAAAATTTAATGAAAAACAGGACAAAACGTAATTATATTTTTCATAAAACTGCAATGCTTCTCACAGTTTTAGTTAAAAAAAGTTGAACGATTTCGATTTAAGAAAAAAATTATTTATAGGTATATTAATAGAAAATTAGTTCACGTTTGAAACATTTATTTATTCTTACAGTCATGAGTCAGTCATCAATTGATTTTCTGATGTATTCAAAAATAAGACCGCGAAAGTCCCATTACCAGCTTGGCTTGTGCCGGCAACCGGATTTTGTTTTGAAAATAACGGTCTTATTTTCGAATACAGTGAAAAATCAATTGTTGTAGACTGTATTATGAAAACGTCTTTTTTCCATTTGGAAAAATTACTGTTTATCTCAAAATTTTAAACAAATAATAAAAATTTCATTGACCACAAAAATCATGCTTTATAGCTAGCTAGTTACAGTTGAAAATTTATTAGAAAAATAAGATGATGAAGAATTGAAATTATAAAACTCGCAAGTTTTGTGCTTAAAAAATTATGTACGTACGGTTATTATTAAAACCGGTCAAAAGTGGCCGTAGGTGCGGCAAAAAGTCGTCAGATGCTCCGTGAAGGAACACATGGAGTTTCACCGAATCAATCGAGTCGGAGTAATTGGAACAGTTCGAATTTGCCGATTTTTAATATTAATTAATAACAATGGATATCTGTAAAAAACGTCAATCGATCGTATCATTTACATCAAATTAGCATAGGGCAAAGTTTAAATATTTAAAGTTGTCCCAGTGTCAGAGAACGGCAATTTAATTCGGATTCACTCCCACAAATGTTACTTGGAATAATCCAAATTTAATTGTTACGTCGAACAAAAGAACTGCTAATCTGCTGATTGAAGAGAATAGAATGAGACATAAGAATTTCTTATTAAGAGAGCCCCTATAAAGTGTCTTTTATTTCCCACGAATTAATTACAAGTTCGAGTGGTAGCAACAAAACGCTCTTACGCTTAATTTAACCTTATTGTTGGAGAAATTCAGATTCATTTGTTTGGTTTATTAAATTAGTCACGAAATAATTTTATTGAGCTATTTATAAAAAAATCAGAGGGAAAGTAAGTCGTGCATTTTTAAAGCACTCGAGCCTTATATAAAATATAAATTTTCCTTTGTAAACCGTAAGGAATGGCATTTTCCTGCGTCAGACAGCGAACAATATGGATTTTATTTTAATTTGCCTGCTTAGAAACTCCTGGTGTAATTTTTCAGCAGAAATCGACTTGAAATTAAAAGCTTAACAGTGTATTCGCTTGGAATATCTAATTGAAAACATAATAAATTAAGATTTATTTTATCATAGGTATTAACCACTATTATTATCTCTAATTGTTACTTAACTTAGAATTATGTCTGCTGTTTTGTTTCCAAGTAAATCTATTTCTTGTGGAAACAAGCAAATTTTTTTATTTTTGGACTGGAACAATGATAAATTGACGTCCTGCGGCTCACGCGATGTTTGTCGTCCTTTAAAGAAGTGAAATTTCACAAGTGACCACTTTGTTACGTAAATATACGTCTTTGTTAATTCGGAAATTCTGTCTGTGGGGTAATACTGAATTTTAAATGAATGATAAAGCAAATAATTTTCAATTGATTCGCTCCATTAATAAAAAAACACTTCACCCTCATTTTCTTTTGAATAATTAAACTTCATTCGAATTACTTGTCATTGATATTATGAAATAATAAACTGATATCAGTGAAACAAAAATGAATATTATTGTTATTACAAAATCATTAGATTCTGATGCGACAATAATTAATATCTCTGCTAATTTGCTCTTGAAGGTTAAAAAATATTCAGTATTTATACTTTTCTTGCTTTAGACATAATTTAACTGGCGAAAGCAACAAGTGTACAACAAAAGAAATGAATTTGATTCTTCTCTTATTTGACCTAATAAAAGTGTAGAATGTTAGATTGCCGCCGCTTTATTTCTTTCATCTTACTCAAAAAGGGAGACTCAAGGATTACAATGCATGGTGGAAATTTAAGAGGGATCTTATGAGAACAAGTGGGACTATTAAACGTAGTTTATTGCATAAAGATAATTGCGTGCTAGACTACATAATGGCTCTCTCGACTTTGCATGAAACTAGTCCAAAAAAATTGTTGAAGATTCCAATAAAATACTTTTCACTAATCTTGATTGGCAATTCTTAATCTAAATTCCTTGTCCGAAAAGCGAGAGAAATATTCGACCTACCTTAACACATGACGACAATCTAGGTTATTAACACGAGTGGACCAGCTGCTAGGCCATGTGTGCATTATTATGCAAGCAACTGCTTGAAGTTTCCAGGATAATCGAAAATCATAAAAATTAAATTTCTCTCTCTGATCAAAATTCAGTTTCTTTTCATTTTATTCAAATTCCGTAACTAATTTTAAACTAAGAATTGGTCCAACTGCCAAAACACCTGACCCTACTCGAAGTCGCATTCCTCGGGTCAGCTTCAAACAATTTTAAAATTATTCAGTGGAAAGGAAAGTGATTTACGTGAATCGAATAATCAACAGGTACTTCCGCCAAATAAAAATTCGAAGTTTATTTAAACATAAAACAATTCTCTTATTGTTGAAAGACTGTGAGACTACGAAATAAATTTAGCAAACTACAATAATATACACAAAGCACGCACAGTAGTAAAGAATCGAGATTTTTAAATTAAATCTTTTCACGTGAAATGAAGAAATTTTGTAGATGGGAGAGAAACGTACCAAAGGATGCGTTTATTTAAATTAATCGTTTTTCGTGTCAAAGTGAAAAGACTCAAAGGAATCAGTGAAAGGATACCAGTTACAGGAAATTAGGATGTTAATTGAATTGAGTGAACTAAATAAGTTTCCCTGATTTTCATAAACATCAAGGAAAATTCGTTATATTTAATGTGGAAAGGTTTTTCTTAGGGTTTTTCTACTTTAAATAAGTCGTCTGATGTAATTTTGGCACTTTTCCCGTTTACTTAATGAATTTTATAACCGTCTTTAAGTTTCCTCAAATGTTTTGACACAATTTTGTACAAGTTTCTACGATTTTTGACGACTATCGTTGTACAGGGTGTCTCAAGTTTTATGGCCGGCGCAAAAATAAATATTTATAATTAATTGAAAAAAAATTGACAGTGTAAACGACAGAGAACATTTTAATTTGATGTTTTGATATTGTACAAAATTTGGTTTTTAGGGTCTCACTGATATACGCTAAAAATTTTGAACAATATTAAAGCATCAAATGCAAGTCTATATACATAATCCTCTATCGTTTGCACTAGCAATTTTTTTTTTTATCAATTAAAAATATTTATTTTTACGCCGGCCCTTAAACTTGGGACACCCTGTACAGGGCTCCAAGCAAAGACATCAATAAAAGATGCTGCAAAATAATGCATATTAATACGTTGACGGCAAAGATTTTTATTAGAACTCTTTGTGCAGGGTGATTTTGAAGTATGTGCAAATATTTTATTTTTTTAGGCATTAGTAGAGCTCAAAAGAAGTCAAAATAACTCAACTTGCCTTATTCGAATGTTTTGAGATACCTACAAAGGGTTTTGTTCGTCGAATAAATTTAAATTTGTCGCGCAGCCTTGAACACCAACTCAAATTGTAAGCAAATATGATCTCTGAGATTAATTCTTCAAAATTTATAACATTAAAAAAATAGTAAGAATTAACAAAAACAGGTACATACAGAAAAAAGTATCCTCATCTAAAAAAAATCATAAAACGGCAAATTGAGTAATTTTGACTTCTTTTGAGCTCTACTATCGCCTGTTAAAATATTTGCACATAACTCAAAATCCCTCTGTATATTAAAAATATGGTGATATGTGAAAAATGCGAGCCCACTCGAATTTAAACCTCGATACTTTATTGCAGTTTTGACTTTGTTTTCTCGTTTGTGTTTTTTTGCATATGCTTGGTAAAATATAGAACAGTGTAACTGGGAATCCATTAAGTAACCGTAATTTTCGCCATGACGTATATTTAGACCTTAAACACCCGCAATTGCGTCGTATACAGATTATAAAACCCGTCCATTAAATAAAACAAACATGAAAACTACGTTGGCATTTGAAATTATGAGCAATGTTGTATATGTATCATAATCATGCAATTTCATAAGATTTGGCTCTTTTCCAGGACCCTTCACCGCTCCAGTGACCTCTTACATGAAACTAACGAATCCATCAGACAAAAAGGTTCTTTTCAAAATCAAAACGACAGCGCCAAAAAAGTACTGCGTACGCCCCAACTCGGGTGTCCTAGAGCCCAACACTTCAATAGAGATAGCAAGTAAGTGTTTCAAATCCGGAATCTCATGAATAGGTAATGAGAGGGAATCGTCGATATTTCAGTAAGTCTCCAGCCGTTCCTGTTTGACCCAGCGGAAAAGAACAAACACAAATTTATGGTGCAGACGTTATTCGCGCCAGACGGTGACGTGAATCTCGAACAGTTATGGAAAGAAATCGGCCCCGAACAGCTGATGGACTCCAAGTTGAAATGTGTTTTTGAAATGCCAGTCGAACAGAACGAAAGTCAAGAGGAAGCCACTAAAGCTAGTCCTAAAGCTGCGGTTGCGGCGGTACCCAATAACGCCATAGATCCGGAATTGCAGAAAGCGGCCGAAGAGGTGAGCCACTCAGTTCAAAATTAGAGATTATGCTTTCTATCTAAAGCGGAAAGATTAAACAAAAACAATTGCTCATTTTCTGTTTTATCAATTTTAATCAAACCTGATTAACCTGACAAAAATTTTGTGAATCAACAGTATTGTGAGATCATAATCAGGTGGCCTCCAATGAAAACAAAAAACTATGAATTAATTCATAGTCTCTTCTTGTCTCAAACACGACCTTGTGTTGTAGCATTTTTTCTAGACACTATTTGGAACAAGTTCATTATTATTGCACAGTCGTAATTAGAAATCTAATCAATTTTAATGGCATTATAAAGTGAGCAAATTGGTCGTAACAATTCCAAATGTGTGTTTAACTGTCATTTTTGTAAGTAGTAATTTTTTCGTTAGGTTCAACAACTTAGGGAAGAAGAAAGTTCGTTGAGGCAGGAGAATCTCCGACTTAAGGAGGAAATTCTTCAATTAAAGCTGGCAGCAGGAGCGCGAGTGACCCAGACCAACCGATACGCACCTCCAGCGCAACAGCAGAACATCCCAGTAATATACATGGCTGTGGCTGTAATTTTGGGCTTCTTAGGCATCGTATTGGGCAAGTTTGTCCTCTGAGACCCTCCTTAGAGACTTAGCGTGGTGTTACTCAGTTTACCATGCCCAAACTCCAATATATTGTATATTTATTACAGTTACTTCATTATTATCTACTGTAAAATAAAATTTCTTGTGCATACTTAACGGGTGTGCTGTTTTGGTTGCATCTTTAGACCAATCGGTTCATTGCCAATCTTAACATTGTCAAAAAACAGTTTAGTATTAGATGGAGGAGGGTGGTGTGTTGAGGTTGGAGGGAATACTCGGTTGGTCGTTTTTTTACAGAGTGTTTATTAAAAACGTAGCTAAACGAATTTAAATGTCGGAAACTGTTTTATTTGGAATATAGATGTTTGATTTTTTTTCATCTCAGCAGTCGCAAATTAGAACTATATATACAATATATGGCAAGTTTACTTACTAGCCATCTTTTGGACGTTTCATGCCTTAAGTTTTCATTTCGTATACAGTGACAGTTCAAACGAACTTGTTGCTAAATTTGGATACATTTTAAGGTGAATGTTGTTTTCATACACGCACTGACTGTACATAACTTTGAACTTTCTCTGTATACTCAATGTGTCAAGCAACCTTCCTGCACTGTTGTTTTAAATAAAAGTCACAATTGTGTTAGATCTATTTATTTTGTTTTTAATTTAATGTTTTAATATTGGGGAAAGTTGCTTGACTCTTGCATTTTTTAATTTTTCTTAGTATTTGTGGTAATAGTTGAGTCATTTTGTAATTGTTAGTTAGAATCGAGCACTTGCCAAGGTCCATTGAGAGAGTTCACTTTAGAATCACGTAATTCTTGCATTTGGGTTTCAAACATCCTACTTTAGACTAGGTCCACTTCATATTAATGTGGTGCTGTCGTATTTACATTTTTTTTATTCATCCTTGGACTTGATATTACATTAATTTGACATGAAAGAGATTTTTACATGTGTCTGTGAGTTTTGTTAACTTATAGATTTAGGGCAAATAAACATCTAAAATTAATAGTAGTAAGAACTTGGCTTGGTGCGATTGTTCATATGTATTATATTTTAACACGTTGTACTATTTTATGCTAGCCTGGTAAGTGTAAGTAACTTCAGTGAATAAACTATACTTCATTACTTACTCATACACTTTTTGTAAGCCGTTATCTTTCCATACAAGTAAATGCATATATTAATTGAACCGATGTAAAACATAGCAAATTATAACTGACATGTTGCATTCACTCGCCTTTTAATTCTCCAAAAACGCCTCTGTAATTCAGAACTATTTCATCTTCAACTCAGTCTTTGATAAGAATACATTGTTGTCGACTGTATCTCTAGAACTGGAAAAGTTATTGAGAATCACTCAAAACCATTTCGGCGATTCCTAAAATGACATGGTGACTCACCTCCATTCACCCACCAAAAAAATGAAAATTTAAAGTTTTAGTTTTGAATAATTGGAAAACGGCTTTACCAAATAGGTTGTTGCATGACATTTTTGAAAAGCGCTTGTTATGAGCTTTTCAACGGTGTATCACAAGTAGGGTAGTGCCACTAAAAATTTTCAAATTGGGGTGCGTCACTTACCATGTCATTTTGATTCCCCCTAGGAACTACTGAAACGGTTTTGAGTGATTCTCAATAACTTTTTCAGTTCTAGAGATATTGCCGATTACAACTTTTAAAATTGACACTCTGTATGTGCAGCCAAGGTAAAACATGCGTTATCAGAATAGTTAATAAAAAATAAAGTTTTTTATTATAAACGTCACTATTTGCGTGTAGTAACTAATAAAACAATTCCAACTGTCCTTAAATAAAATTTATTTGGAGACAAAAGTTACATATCTACATGATCATGCAAAAAATATAGCATTTATGTAAGTATGTGAAATAAATGGGATTTATACAAAAGATACGCCATAACAAAATAAATATTCGAATCACATAAACAGAATTAAACTTGATTAGCCTGCGGATTATTTAAATTCGGATTATTGGCTTGTGGTGCACCCTGTTGAACATTTCCTTGGACTTGTGGAACACCTTGAGGTTGATTTTGCAGAGGAACTTGTTGTGGTTGCTGATTTTGAAGTGGAACTTGTTGCTGTTGATTTTGTACCGGAACTTGCTGTTGTTGATTTTGTACCGGAACTTGCTGTTGTTGATTCTGCACCGGCACCTGTTGTTGCTGTTGATTTCGTACCGGAACTTGCTGTTGTTGATTCTGCACCGGCACCTGTTGTTGCTGTTGATTTTGTACCGGAACTTGTTGATTAACCGCCTGCGGGTGTTGCTGCTGATAGTTGGCTTGTTGCTGTTGATAGTTCACTTGTTGCGGATGTTGCTGCTGCTGCTGTTGATAGTTCACTTGTTGCGGATGCTGTTGATATTGGACCTGTTGTTGTTGGTAGTGTTGTGGAGGCTGTTGGTAGTGCTGTTGTCTTTGTTGGGGATATACCTCATTTGTGTTCAAATCAGGTAGATGCCCCTGAAATCAGTTTTACCTCCTGGTGACTTCTCTATTTCAACTTACCTGAAGCTGTTGTGGATGTTGTTGTGACAGTTGGCCCGGATGGAACTGCTGCTGTGGTACTTGTCCCGGGTGGTATTGCTGTGGTGGAGGGTGCACTGGAACTCCATTTGGATGAACAGCCACATTAGGGTGGTATCCTGGAGGAGGGTGCTGGGCGTATCCTTGAGGAGGATACCCATGAGGAATTTGATTGGCCGCCTGGTGCCGTCTTATATACTCTTCCAGTTCTTCATCAGTGTAAGGTTTCCTCTCATCCAATCCTTGCCATCCGTGGTCTTGCTGGAAGTCGTTTCTTTTCGTCTGTGCGAGAAATTCCTCATAGTCTATAAAACCGTCTCTATTGACATCAACCTCACTGAAAACGCTTTCGCGCATTCTCTCCATTTCCTCGGCTCTTTCCCTCATATCGTCCTCAGGTTCACCGGCAGCATACATTTTTTGTAGCTCCTTGACAAACAAAGCTTTGACTTCGTCTTGATCCCATAGTCCGTTTCCGTCAATGTCGTGCAACATAAAGAAAGTTTTGGGGTCAAACTCCTGCTGCATCTGGTCTTGTTCCTTCCAGACCTCTTCGAGTTGGGCTTTATGACCCGGCTCGTGCAACTTTTCATGCTTCTTATGCTTCTCCTCACGTTCTTTAAACTCTTTCTCTAGTTTTTCCCTATCTTCCCCATTCGTATGGTTGAGTTTCGCTTGCTTTTCAAACTCTTTCTGCAACTCATACTCCTTGAATTCCTCCCGTCTCTTCTTATCAGCTTCCGCCAAATCAGCAGTTGTCTTAGCAATAAGCTTCTTCAAATCGTCAATTTCAAAAGTATGAGGATTCGAATGATCCAAATGCTTGTGACTGGGATCCTCCAAATCTATATTTTGCTGCAACTGCCTCTTCTTCTCGGTTAACTCCTTCAGTCTGACCAATTCCACTCTTTTGATTTCATCCAAACGGCTTCGGACGTGATGCGACACGAATTCTAACTCTTCAGCTATTTTTCCAGATCTAATGTCTGTTTCATCGGCTTTTTCTAATTTTTGCCGAAACTGAGGATCCGATTCGAGGGCGTTTACGACCTCTTGTAAGTACCTGTGGTACTCCATGTAGTCCTCAAGACCGCCCATGTCATCTTCGCTCTTTTCCTTGTCTTTATCTTTGTTCTGAGTCACAGGTGGTGCGAAGCAAAGTTGTAACACGGAAATGATGAAAAATGCGATTGGAATGGATCGGTTCATTTTCTGGAAAAAAGAGAGTGTATTATTTTGAAATTCAAAGGGAAATCGAAGAAAAACCTAATATTGCAATATTTTTCTGTTCTAATAAGCAAGCAAATCTTATTTCGTAATTCATGGGAACAAAAAATATACAGTATAGTGGACATAAACCTTTGCGATAGGGTTTCATTTTATTCTTCAAAAGCCAAAATTTTGATTATTTTGATTGTCAGTCACTTTTGACACAATCTTGAATAATTATTGTTTTGATGACAAATAAGAACTGTTTTACGAATTTTATTGGACAATCACTGACAATTATAACTGAACATAAAATAAATATAGAAATTGATTACAAAGGATCAAATTACACGAACGATAACAATGATGATATTTATGAAAACTGCCCATCTTTTTTCACAAAGTTTTCTCGTTTTCGTCGATTAATTTTCAAATTTGGCTATTGTTATAATTTATAACACACCATAGCCAATAGTAAACATCTTCAAATACATAAAGAATTGTAATAAAAAGTAAAAATTACTATTTTGAAAACATTAGGCTGATTTATCTCCAAAATTTATTCTTGTTTGAATGGAAAACATTGCAAATTATTTGATAAACAAAGAACACTGGACCACGTTCCACTTTTTATTTAACTTACATTTCTTAATATGATAACTTCTAGAAACAATTTACAACATAACCTATACGTTTTATACGCGAAAACACTAGAAAACCTATTATTTTTCAACTTCCACACACGTAGTTTACTACTAAATCTGGAAAAATACTTTCACTGACGTGTCTTTCGAGAAATGTTGAAGACTGGCTTTGATGCCTCTCAAATAAACAATGCTTTTGACATTTGACAGCACGTACGTTTATGAGAGAGAGAGAGCGCTTAATATAATCTCATTCTATCTGACGAGGACAGCAAAGAAGAGAAACCCCCATTAACCGCTCCAGTTTTCATCATAATTTTGCAACACCAGCAACTCTCAATGACAACTTCATGGTAATAAAAAAAACTTTATTCAGCAACAAACATTCCAAGGTAATACAACTTAAAACATATTATCACAATTTAAATTTTGAATTATTTTTTTCCTAATTTATTGTTGGTGTGTCTTCTGGGGGCCCATCGCAACGCTGTACTGTCAACACACAATCGCGGCCTTTTGTACTGACTTGATCTGATATGTTCTTCTACCAGTTTGGGTGTGACACAAATTACGTGTTGGCCTTTCCAATATTTGACCATGTTCATACTTTGCAAGGTTGAGATTATGTCAGTTTGGGTAATACTAGTCATTTGACTGTAAAAAGACAATTACACTGTGAACAAAAGCTCAAAAGTAACAAAAACCTTAAATCTTTGATTGATAACGTGCCCCTAAAGTCTCTCAAAATTTCTAATAAAACCCAACTCCAATAACTTCTGTAACTCAGTTTTCCTAAATCGCTAAGAGGCTGTTCCGGACTGCCAACAGTGCCTTCCAAACGCGATAATTCGTAACTGAAAGCTATCAAAAGTTTGCCGTAGCCTTGTCTTTGATAAGGGGGCAGTGTGAGAATGCAAGCGACGTTATTTCCATCTGGAGATTCTTTTTCTTTGGAGAAGTAACCAACAATGTGGGCCCCTTGTTTGTCAACTTCACATAAAATGTAAAAAAGGAAAGGTTCAACGTCAAAGTAGAGAGTTTTGTGGTCTAGGAATAATTTTGCCAGGAGGCAAAGGTTTTGACAATAAATCTAAAAAGAAAAGTTATTCTTTTTTCTTCTTTTCTCCTTATATTATTACTTTGTGGTCTTTTCCATCAACTTCATAAACAGAAAGTGTTCCTTTTCTGTAGATTTCTTTACCCACTGGTTGTCTCCAGGTACACTCACTCTGAAATACAGGAGTAATGTTGGGCAATCTTGTGACAGTGACTTACCATATGATACCTGTAACTTTTTTCTAATCTCATGTATTTAAGACAATATTCGCATATCCATAATTTACTTTGACGTCCATATTCTTCAGGATATGGGCTGAAATACCATGTATCGATCTCAAACCTTCCTATTTGTATTTTATCAATATATTTAACTTTAGTTATTTGTTCATGTTCTTTCTCTAATGCTGCAGTAGTTGGATCCATTTCTGCATATCTACAACATTATTTAGGTAAACAATCGTTTGTAAGAGCAAGTGTGTGAAATTACGTCTTTTGAATGTGATTTATTTCATCATGTCTCCTCTTCTGATTCCTGGTAATTTTTCTATCAGAACTGTCAGTCAATAAATCAGAAACAACAGGCCTCTCTTTCCACACTTTGTCAGTCGGCATTTTCTGTCCACTTTCCGTTAAATTAAACGTAGAAGACATTATCCTAGCCCTTGGCACCTAAAACCCAAATTGTACAATTTGAAACCAAGCATTTCTCTCCCAAATACCCATTCGTCCAACCGCCGATTTTGCCCCTCATAATGCACGTAATATTCGTACTCACTATCGCCATATCTCGTCTGTATTATCTTAGCAGGATCTGAAAAAATTACAAAAACAACCACCATAGTAACGACGTAAACAGAACAGTAAGGTTATGTCTTGTCACTTACACCAAGAATCCTCCGATCTTTGCACTAAATAATGTTCCCCAATTTCCAGGGGCTGTTCTTCAACACTTTCATTGTCTTCGTCATGAGATTGCGACGGTTTGTTCTCACTTTCTGATTTTTTACGCATTGTTTCGGAAGGCGTCTCCAGTGGCTTGTTGCTATCAGCCATCTTGAAATTTTGGCGGTGCAGAAGGGCGCATGCTTGAGAAATTTGAGGCGGGAATTTTGAATTTCAAGAGGAAAGAAGTTGGCACAGTTTTTGTACTTTTTTTGACTTTGTTAACGTTGTAGGTTTATTAAACAAAGCAATTTAATTTTGAAAATGTTTTTATTGAAACTTTTTACAGTAGGAAATATATTGTGCAATCAAGATCAAAGATCATGTTTATACAGATATTTATTTTTGCGCGTGTACTGCGAGACTCGATCTAGAATAATTCTACAAAAGTGATTATAATAAAATTTTAACTTAAATTATGCCATAAACAGTGCATCTAAATAGATAAGTACCTTCTAAGTGTTTGAAAATATAATGTAGGTACCTACGTTTTAAATTTATCCACATTTACAAGTAGATCTCGTTATTAAACAATTTCTTATTATCGTGTTATTTTATTATGTATTGTAAATAGCACTTTTTAACACTGCAAAAAAAATTGTGCACAGATGGGACTAGAAACTTCCTGGGTTTTGGTTTTTAGTTCCTGATTCAAAGATTTAACAACAATGCAAAAGATTTCAAAGGGATCTGAGAACCATTTTAACGAAATAAACTCTGATTTTTGTGGGATGATATAAAATAATTATTACTTTTACTCCGTTAATTTTTTTAAAAGTATAGGTATATAGCTATTACTAATGCAGGGAGAATTGTTTGTTTTCATTAGGTAGGTACTTAATAATTTTTGTTATCAAAAATTCATAGATTACATTCAAAGGAAAAATATTTTAATTAATGCGTTACATTAAGCGCTCTGATTGACAAATTCTTTAATTAAATTTAGGCTAAAACAGATTGCAATCAAAGTATTTATGATTTTTGTTGACATAATAATTTATTCATTATTAGTCTGCGTAATTCTGTTTCTTGCTCTTGGATACAACGTAATGTGACCAAATTCCGACAAATCTCTTTTATGTCTGTTAACAGGTTTAAACTCCGTACCAATAGTAACAGACTGTTTGTCTTTATTTATTAAAGAAATAGGTTTCAAATTGTCTTCCTTCCAGTTTTCAGACTTTTCAACCGTTTTCGGCTTTTTCGTATCTGAATTTTCTATTTTACTTTTTCTCCGGTAGTACAAAACTTCTCCAACTAAAGTTATCATAGCTAAAGCCAAACCAAAAAGTGTTGCAATGAACACTCCACCTACCACCAAAACAATTACTTATTTTATTCCCTTGTAACAAAATTACTTACCTAAACTTTCGAGAGTTATTCCCTCGTTATCATCAGTAGTCGGACAGCTACCTTTCCCCGAATGGTTCCAATATTTAGCTTGTAGTTGTTCAAAGAATCGGTCTTTTTGCAAATTTAAAATTCTGCAATTTTTTTGCTAAGTTTTGTCAGACATTTGAGTACTTACGTTTTGCTTATTTCGTCTTGTAAGTGACTTCCTTGTTGAACAGCAACAGCGTAAGGTCTTTCGGCAAAAACTTCTCCAACTTCAGTCAAATTGCAATTTTTGCTGATCTCGTATTTAATTTCGGAAGAATCGTGAATGAAAGCGAAATCAGCATCTGTGTGCTCATTTACAATTCTGAAACCCTCAGAAGCATTCGGAACAGGATTTGAGTCATTAATAGCCAATAAAATATGGCCGTATTGTTCGCGAATTGGATAATCCCAAACTCGATATTGCGTATCGTCAGTTGACGCGTTTAAAGTCAATTCTTTCCACATTCTGAATAATAATTTGCTAATTTTATTGCAAATTTATTACTTTCCTAACCTGTATAAAGTATCCTCGGCATGTTTCATATTAATAAAATATTTATGTGTGTCAGAGTCTTTCACGACTGTGTAATTAATTCTCGATTGTTTGGCGAGCTGTTCTAATGATTGCACCGGTGTCTACAATTTTGATTTATCATTTAAGGGTTTCAGTTTTCTTTAAAAAATTACCTGCATACGTTCGACAGTCAAGAAAGCTGCTAAATTTGCCGTAAAAGTGGCTAACATAAGAACAACAAACAACCAATAGGCAGCTACTAAAGTGCGTCCTGAGAGTGCTTTAGGAGCCTCACCTCCTCCTTGAGGAGTAAAAGACGTGAGAGCAAACCAAAAACTTTCTTTCAAGGTGAATTCTCTACAAATAAATTTCAGGAAAAATTTTCACTTAGTCTGAAAATACCTAGTAGGGTATGGATACGCTTTTTTGTTATTCCTCGCACTATAAGGCGAGTATTTGTCAAGAAACCAAACCATAAACCCTGTCACAATCAACGCTCCAACTATACTTAACCACACTTCAAGTTTTAAAACAGTCATAAATTTGAATAAGGAGGTTTTACGGACAGGTTTCCGCATCACTGAAATATTACTTAATGAAGGAAAATGATGAAATTAGGATTAATTACCGATGGTTATTCCGGTTTGCTCGAAGTATGGAGCAACGTAATCTATTACTTCTTCTCGGTCGGCTGTCATTATCAAAGCAGTTATTGCCAGATCGGTTTCCTGCAAGGAATTATATTGACTTAAAAAATATTATTTTGCCAATAATTACCCCAGTAGCCAAATCCCCAACTACACCATCCCAAACTCCGTCCTTTTTCTTACCAAAGGTACCACTTTTAGGTTCCACAAACTCGTATCCAAAACCCATAAGTTTTGACAACTCTTCAGTGAAATCGACGCAGTAGCCGGTCCAGTAGGTGTTTCCCGAAGAATCGGTTTCTTTATACGACCATGGTAAAGCCTAAAATATTTCGTAATTTCTTACAAAGAAAGATAGTGTTTTTTACATGAGTTATCCCAATTCGGAAAAATGGAGTAATGGGTTCGATTTTTTTACCGTCTAAAACCGTAACTCCTGTTTTGTAATTGTATTCCGCCACTTTTTCATCTCCAATTTCTACGATACCATTGATGTTAACATGTAGAGCGAAATTTTCTTTATAAATTAAATCATTTGAATCGACTTCTTGTTGCAAAAGTTCGTAAAATCTGTTTCTGGTTGCTTCACTGTAATGAGAATCGTCACAGTTTAAATTTGACGTCAATTCTAAATTTTCCGTAATCAAAGTTTTTAAAATTTTCATCAACGTATTGATGGCTAAAGAGAGAAAATTTTCTTGAAGATTGAAATCATGTGGACATTCACACTTTTCAGTTTTCAGAAACTTGCAACAAATTTCTTTATCCATGTATAATGAATTAATCGGTAAATTTTTGAGCAGCTTTTTATCGAACTGTTGGTACTGAAAATCAAGAAATACCAAGTTCCATCTTTCAGGCAATGTGACTAGATTTTCATCAAGCGCCTGAAAAATTTCGTCAAGTTTGTGGGCAAATTGAAAAAAAATACCGTTTCGAGAAGCTCCTCCATATTTGAACTTGTTGCTACAATGGCAAAATTGTTAGGAATCGGTCGAATAGCTTTCAATCTATTTGCTGTTGTTTTATCTAAACTTTCTGAAATTACCATCCGCAATAACGTTGTGTCTATCCAAAAATAAAGTGCTTCGTCAACTTCTAAAATGTGATGAAATTATGAAAAAAATATTTATTTTGGTCAATTTTGTTACTTTCAGGATTGTCAAAAATTAGAGTCACGTCTGTTGAATTTCGGTATTCTAAAAATTTGTCTAATAGGAGCAGCGCAGGGCTGATTGAAATATCTATTTTGACATAAAGAATTCCAACATCAAGGGCAACTTTCTCGGCTTGCTCATTGCCAGTCCATGTTAAGTCTATTATTATGCCACCTTTAGGAAGAATTTCACAAACTAAAATTTGACAATTTATGACGGAAGTAATAATTAATTAACAACTTTTGTTTCGGTCTTCATCATCCCCTTCAAGCTCTATAATAATCGGTTCTAGTTGAAGATCCGCTTGACTTGCTTTCAGAGATTGTTGAAACCATTCAGGGACATAATCCTGTCCAGACTCTTTCAGGACAACTTGAAAAGAAATTAGAAAGCTATAAATACCGCAAAATTAAACAAAGTATGGAAAAAATCCTTTTGAAAAGTTTTTTTACAAAAGAAAGCATTTCGCTTTGACCACAACCTTGCACTTTAAAACTAATTATAAATTTTCTTCTACACACTTAAGAATTTATTTTATTTCACCTTGGTTGAGTATGAATGATTGCACTGCTATGCAATAAGATATAATCGGTGAAACATTTTTTAACGCAAATCGAAAGTTCGATCTGTTTTTACTTCACAATTAAAGCAGTTGTTACGTGCTAGCAACAGTTACTTTCCCAATTGGCAGGGGTACTCTAAACAGTTTGTGGTAACACTTCTTGGTGTTTAAGTATTATCAATGATGATAAAAGTATGGAATGAGTTTTAAACGTAGATGATAAGTTATGTGAATATTTGCCATGCGTATGCAAATTGTTGCTACTATTTTTTATCAATCCAACCAAGCTCTTCGCATTTGAAGGTAAGCAAAAATTTTTAATTACACCACTAAAGATAGTATAGTTGTCGTTGACTGTGCTAATGTTATTTGTTCAACGTATTATTTTTAGATGATATGGGAATTATTTCGGTGGTGTTACTTTTCGGTTTCATAAAAAGTTTGGAAGCAATTCATTGTGATAAAATATTCAACTACCACGAAAATTACGGATATGGCTTTGATATCATTTGTGAGGGACTCTCGAACAGGAACAAGGAAATGCTTGTGGATATATCAGTGTCCAATGAAATTGTCTTGACGATCAACAACTCAAATTTGAGTGAGGTTACCCCAAACCTATTCCAAAATGTATCAAAAATCAGGTTTTTAATCATCAAAAATTCATTATTTGTATTTAACCCAAACGAATACATTTTTGCAAATTTATTATCTTTGGAGCATTTAATTTTTGAAAACACAGTGTTTAGTAGTCATAATTTGTACGTCTTGCAAGATTTGGATAAGTTAAGAGAGTTGAGTTTTGTCAATACGAATTTGGAGATTATAAACAATGGAACTTTTCGGAATTTGCAGAAAATAGAAACTTTGACTTTAACAAATAATCGATTTGAAAATATGTCTGAGATTCCATTTTGTGAATTGCCGGCATTAAAATATCTTCATTTAGACAGGAATAAAGTTAAACAAGTTAGTGGAAATTTCACTTCTTGTTTTCGGAAAAAAGAAACAAATCTAAAATTAAACGGAATGCGGTATACAATACTATCCGAAAATGTTCATCAATCTAAATCTGAAACGAGTTTACTCGATTTGAATGTAAGTAATAATCAAATAGAGTTTATTGACAATTTTGATTGGGCTTTGAGATTGAGACATATTGATTTGAGTAATAATCGGCTTGAAAATGTAAGTAAAAAAATATTCAGTATTTTGGGCGATTTAGAAAAACTTAATCTTGAAAATAACTTTATTAGGATAATTGATTCGGAAGCTTTCTCCGGGCTAAAAAATCTAAAAGTGATTAATTTAAAACGAAATTTGTTAAATGAAGTGGTTTTCAAGAATCTGCCTAATTTAGAGGAAATCAATTTAGGGAATAACAATTTAAAACCTGATAGTTTAACTACTTTTAATAATTTGCCAAAACTTCAATCACTAATTTTGCACAACAATTTTATAAAAAAAATGCCACCAAATAACTTTACTAGTTTAGAAGTTCTAGATTTGTCTAGTAACAGTGTGATTTTACAAAATAGTGTATTTAAAAACTTAGGCAGTTTAAAACATTTAAATTTAAAAAACAATAGTTTAGAAAATATTCCTGTTGAAGCATTTTTAGGATTAGTAAATCTGGAGATTTTGGACATTTCTGTGAATAAAGTTGAAATATTTGAAAATCCTCACGTTTTTGTAGATTTATACAATTTAAAAATTTTGAATATGTCGGACAATAACATACAACATTTAAATTACGACTTAGTTAAACCTTTACGTAATCTCCAAGTACTTGACATTTCAGGAAATAAATTACAAAGTTTTCAAATCAATGTAATTTCTTTATTGCCTTCTCTTCAGATAATCAACATTAGATCAAATCTGTTATCATGTAGTGTTTTATCAAAAATTATTGTATTTTTGAAAAACAAACACATAGACTATACGATTAATGAAGAATTCGAATATGATAAGCAGAATATTGGTGGAATATATTGTAAAGAAATGTCAAGTAGCGTTCGTGGTTTATCTTCGCCTATTGCAATCATATTTCTGGTTGTTGCTATTAGTGTTTTTATTTCTTTTACATTTTATAGATGTTTGTTGTTTTCCAAGAGGCGAAGATATTTTATGGATGAAATGGAGCTTATTTAGTCCTAGTTTAATAGATTTTAATTCTTGATGTACCTATGTATTAGATAGATATTTATTTAATTATTGTAATAATTTAGAACAGTTCAGTTTAAATAAAGATATATTTTTGCTATATCTTCACTTTACTTTATCACTCGTAGTTTTTTACTATCTTCAGTAATTATTGTTTTAAATAATTTATTTTCATATCATTGCAGATAATACATGCACGCATGCACTTCGAGTCTTTGGTAGTAATTAAACCAATTACTCAGTTTTTTCTTAATTTCCATAACTTTTGAATTAGCAAGTTAAAACATAATTACCATCAAATGCTTTAAATTGTAGCTCGTTATGAAGAAAGTTGTAAAAAAACAAAACTTACTTATTTTGGTGACTTCACTTTCCTCTTGTAGATGCACTTTATGATTTTCAAAAATTACCAAAAATAAAACAATATGAAATAATTTCATTCTGTGTGTTTGGACGTCTTAAAAGCTACTCGAACTGTTCCACATAAAACCGTTAAAGATACAAAGACTTCTCGTGCTTTATGCCATCACGAAAAGTGTAAATAATAAATGACATCGTCGGTATAATTCCATTTCTAATAGGATATAATTTAGAGTCCAAGTCGCTCACCAAAGACAGGTAAGCAATATTTACAGAGAATTGATTTGAATGGATTTTTCTTTAATGATTTATGATATTCAGATTACACATTTTCTGATAAATGATTTGTGCCACATGTCGACTGGGCGAATAATTAGAGACTTGAATTCTAAGACTTTTTTTAAATAGTTTATTTGTAATCGTTATAAATTTAACAAAAATAATAATTGTTTACAAAATAGGCGAATATCGTAATAAATAACTGTCGTTCATAGTATTACTATTGCTTAGGGACAATTTTGTACTTGTACTGTTTACCACCCTTTTTCCCGCCTTTCTTGGCCCACTTTTCTTGATGGTTGTGATGACTTTTAGTGGCTTTTTGATCCTTGAATGCCTTTTTCTCACTCATGTCGTGTCCTCCGGCTTTCTTCGACGCTTTCTTGTAATCATTTTGATCCTTTGCTAGCTGTAACAAAATATAAAGGACTCTAACTCAGTTTTACATATATTGCAACCTTGTGATTCTCCACTTGTTTTTTGGCCGAATATTTCGAATTATACTTTTTGTGTTTTTGCCCAAACACCTCAAACTCGCCACTTTTGTGAGAATTGCTGTAGAAAGTATTGTGTTTTTTGTGTTCATCTTTATGGTACTGCTCCCTATAACCCTAAAACTCCAAGTAAAATTTTAGACTGGAGTCCAAACTCCTCACCTTCTTGTAGTTCAATTTTTTCTTTTTTGCCGCTTCCTGGAATTTGGCCCCGTGTCCAGAGCCCCCGCTATGTTCATTTAAGGACTTGTATCCATCTTTTGCGTGATATTTCGTCTTCTTTCCCTTTTTTTCCGCATTGACTTTTTTGTGGAGTTCATTCAGGGATTGTCCTTTTCGGGCTTTTTCAACGTCGTGTTTCGAGGATTTGCCACTTTTTTTGACGTGGTTGAACTCACTGTGTTTCGCTCCTGTTGATTTAATATTATTTGGGGTTAAATCGCATGAAAATGTTTTTACCTTTTTCATCCTGTTTTCCGGCAGCTTCTCCGGATTTTGAGTGGTGCTGCTCTGTGGCGAGGGCTTCGTTTGTTAACGCAACAAAAACAAAAACAAACTGAAAAACATATTACATTAACATTTTGTGTACATTATTGGACTAGTTTAATAATAATATTTCAATATTGTATTGTATTATTTTGTGGGTTAATATACATGATCATGTTATTTATATCAATTTAAAATTAAGAGAAAGTAAAAAGTGATTATATTTTGCATTTATAATCTTGAAAAAATAGATTCGCGGTTTATTTTGATTTCAGATTTAAATCTTTTTGTCAGTTTTATATTTTTTTTAAGCAGAGGTCTATAACACTGAAGAATGGAAAGCAAGGTCGAACAGAAATTCTTAGTTTTTTTTTTTGCTTTACAAGCAATTGACGTAATAAAATCTATAATAAATATTTTACAAAAACTGTTTATGACTGATTGCATTTAGTCGAATGTTTTTGACGTTCTGTTATTCATTTTGAAAATAATGCTGATTAGTGATAAGAGGCGTGCATTTTAAATTGTTTTCGAAACACAAAGGTAATCTATAATGATAAACATAACTATAAACTGTTTTTGCCGAAAACACTCCTTTTTTACTTTTGCCATAACCAATTCAGTTTTGTTAAGTTACTATTAAACAATAATCCATTAATATCAAATTTCACTTGATAAAAAGATCAGCAATTGAAAAATAAGATTCAAAAATGGTTTATGAAAGATAAGATATTCGTACAGTCGTCGTTGATTCTAAAAAAAACCTGGTATGTCAAAAAATTGTATTTTGTTAGAAAGTAAAAAAACATAATAATTAATTTGATTTTTTTATAGTAGGAGACTTCTCAAAACAAATTAGATATTACCATCATGTAATACACACGTGAAAATTAACTTTTAGGAGGTTAAAAAATGTACAATTGACATTAAGATGTACAGAAGTATAATAATATTTGATCAAATGATTCCAAAGTTATTACCAAAAAAAAAACAAATTCCCATACTCCACATGCCGAGGGCAGAAAATTCACGAGTTGTTATTTAAATATTCAAATTTAAAAAACATTTTATAGGTTATTTTTTACGTTCAAATATTGCTTCATATTTATGAATTACCCTGTAGGTATAGTAAAAAATGCTTTTTAAATAAAAAATTTTGATTTCTCAAGTAATAATTTGTATTAATAAGTAAGACTTAATGACAGGCTTGTTGATTTAACACGCAAGCTTTTGTATTAAAAAAAAATATTGCCATTTTTGTACATGTTATGTATGTATATATTTTTTATACTATTTATTTTTGTTAACAAAATAACGTCATGCTTATTTACGTTTATTTCATATTATTTCCTCATCGAATAAAATTAGGGATTAAAACTCAAAAATTCCGATTTTTCGTTTCCACTGTAAGAAATAATGTTAATCTTATGGTACGTAAATAACTATTACCCAATATTTGTTAGTAATAAATTATAGGGCTATATAAAATTTAACTTATGTTGTAGGTAGAAATTTATTGTTTGAAATTTAATAGTCGTAGTTGTACACATAAATTGTATTTTATAGATCAATAATTAAATTTTATTGCATACTTTGTTATTTTTGCATCTCAATATCCACTAACATCCACTACTGTTTTAGACACAAATCACCACTTTTGAGTGAAATTGACTTTAAATGAATAACAAATTAAGTCAAGTCAACAGTAAATTTCTCGTCTTAATTTAAGTAATGATACAGTAAATATAATTACCTCAAATGAAACGTTGTAATCTGTAACGGAACTGAAAAATTTAATTTATAAGAGGAATGTGGCATTTCGATGGTGCATGCTTTCTAAAATAATTTGAGGTGCTTTTGTTTATAATTAATTCTACCTATGTAATAAAATTGTTTTGTATGAATGATTGTTGCAAATTGGGGTTGTAGGATCTGATCCAAAGAACTATATCGAAAAATTTTCAGTGGCTTCATTTTAGTCTAAACGAACTATTACGAATTATTTGAATAGTTTTAGAAAGTAATTGTTGCAGTTGTCATATTTCATAATGTTAAAAGATTTAACACTTTTTTGAATAACAAGTAGGTCAAAAGATTTACTTTCAACACTTCGAAAATGCAAATTTGGGAAAAAATTGTGACAATTTCAAAGGAATTAGGCTACACATGTAAATGCTGCATGCTTTGTATCAGAATTATGATAATTGATTAGTGCACGCTTGAACTGCCACAAGCTGCAGAGATTTGGAAACTATTGTTCTGTAATTTAAATAAATTTCCGTTTATTTCTTCACCGCATCAAAAAAGCCAAAAATATAACCAATGAGAATCAAGAATCTCAGGTAAATTTTTAAACCTGTGTTTAAGCTATTTTCTAAATTTATAATTTGTTTATGTTCACTTTGCCGCCAACATTTCCTCTTCAATTATACACAAAAATGCAGGATCTCTCTAACCAACAATTTTATTTGGATGGCCGATTTCACTAATGAAATTATTTGAAAAAATGTAAAGAAAGCGCATTTGTCATCACTAAAATGTTACAATTTGTCATTAAAATGAAAGGTATTCTTGTAATAATATAGATTTTTTTTGTCATCAAAGACTTTCACTTAACATGCAAGGATCTGATTTGGAACAATGTCGTATAAATGCAGTGATTTGTGAATTCTGTATGCAATTAGATCACGAACTACTCCCAATAAAATGATTGTACATTTTGCAATGAGTGATAGAAAACATACCTCACGCAAAACATAAACTATTTATAAACGTAAAACAACAAATGGCATTGTGATGCAACAAAGTTTTGAATGAAAAAAGCACAAAGCTTGAGTCCAATTTTTCAAGCGTCGCTTTGATGACCCAAAACCGCAGGTTACAGGTGTTGAAAACTCGTTAAGATGACTTAAACTAATAATGAAGCTTTAAATACAGTGCAATAAACCTCGAAATAAACTTTAAGTTTGTAATAAACTCACCAAAATAACTACAAACTTCATGTTTAGGTTGAACTCTGTGTTAAGTAAACGCGGGCTTATTTCTTACTGAGCTATTTCATCTTTCTCAGTATTCGTACAAGGTGGGGACTACAGGTATAGGCACGTCATCAAAACAAGTCTTCTTGCGTTAAAGCTGTTAAGGTTAATGATACCCTCATACAGGAGGTGGAAGAAAAAACTAGACTTTATAAGCGAGATTACTGTTTTGTAACTGAAAAAATTACACTAGGGGGGACCGTTTGGGAAACAAATCACTGACTTTTCCAACATCTAAACTAATTTATCTTGATTTCATCAAGAGAAAAATTTAATTAGATAATTTTACATTTTTGTGGGTCAAAAATTGATGAGTTAAGCTAATTATTTCGAGTTGATCACCTGCCTGAAACCAAGTCTTGAAGCGCAACTTCTCAAGGACTTTACAGATCGATGACTTGTATTTTTCAGGACTAACCAAATATTTGTAAAGACGTCAATTTTTTTAATTTATTTGATTAAAATAATTTTTATTTGATTAAAATACCTAATCAGTCAAGATGATTCGGACGATACTTCCTATTTCTTGAGGTTTTGTTCTTTGAAACCTTTCGAGGGAAAAGTTGCATAAAATTGACTACAATGATGGAAAGAGCAGTGGTGCAGAGAAATAATTTTAATGAAAGCAAGATGGTCCCTTCTATTATTATTTCACAATATAGTCAAATTATGTAAGGAGGATTTATCTGAAATGATTGTATCCAAATTTGCAACAATTTAAAGAATGGGGACGGTTTCTCTTGTTTATTATTTTGATTAGTTAAACCGTGGATAAGTAACGGAACCAAATTTGTAATTTTTTTGTGGTTTTGCAATAAATTTGAAGGGACGTGGGGTGAGCTGGAGCTTTCATGAGACCTTGCTCTATTTAATACAAGTCTTGATATTCTCAAGCAAAATTGGTGAATGGATTTGAGTGTATTTGTATTTAAAGTTTCATGGAATAAAAAGGAGACTAGTTTTTCTTTTAATTTGACATGGTTAAGATTTTAGTAGATTGGAACTTGGGATTATCCTCCGCTCACTCGAGTGTCAATCAATTTAATTAATTTTGAATTAAATTATTATTTAATGGTTTACTAAAAATAAGCCGTTTGATGTTTGGAAGCTGGAAGATACAATTACGTAAATTATTTAGATTATGTGTTAAAACATAACTGGGAACGCTATTTTCATCAAAAAATTTGCCGCTGTAATTATCTACTACGACATTCCTTCTAAAACGTTATCAAATTCCGGTTTTAGAACGCTAACCCAAATAGTTCTTTTTGATTTTTGAGATTATTAAACAGTTTATACTGTAATTTTCTGTTACTTAACAAATTTTCAATTGCCCAACTTAAATTTTTTCGAATAAGATAAATTCTAATCAACCTAGTTTTGGTTAATGCTCGATAAATTTGTTACAATGTAGAAAGTTTTTTTCTGTACATAACATTGAAATCAGTGGTTATCCAAAAAAAAATGAGGTAGATTTTTATTTACTTATTTCAAGTAGGTCTATGTTATTCGACGAAGTTTGCTAATTATACAATAGTTGTTTACTTTATATTCCAAACGAATAAAAAATATTTTTTTACTGGTATTACGTCGATTGAAACAGTAAAATTATTTTGCTCCCATGCGATATACTCATTTTTTTGTCTAATTTACATTTTTTATTTTACTTTTATTTTATATTTTTTACAAAACATTTTAAAAGTTTTTACAATCTCCATTATTTTTACTGTTTTCATCAAGAATTATCCTAATGCGAATATTTTTGTCGGCTATTTTAATGTTGATATAGACACTGTGTTGAATAATTGTTATTGTATCTCATTGCATAGGATACTTATTTGTAGTTAGTGTGAGTTATAATATAAATAAATAAATAATTATTAAGTGAAGTGAAATGGAAGTTACCAAAAATGAATAGGTGTAAAGGTATAAAGAACATTATGGTTCTAAAATAGTTTTAAATTGTGTTTTTTATCAAATAAACATTTATTTACTTATTTCAAAAATGTTTTTTTTATTTTAAATTTGTGAAATTGGATAAATTTTTTGTATACAGGCTGTTTCGCATAATTTTACGAGACCTGCGCCTGTAAGATGCAATCAATAATACATATTCCGACACGAACTCGATTACAAATTTTGAAAAATTGGATAATCTCTAGTTTGTTCACCCTTTAAAATATTACGTTTTTAGTTAGTTAGTGATTAAGATAGATAAACTAGAATCATATTCATGCCGTCTCTTGATGGAACAAATGATAATTGTTTCTGAAAAAATGCAGTTTATGACTATTAATGAAACAGTGGACAACTACTGTCATGGGTTTCCAAAAATTATATAATTAAATCAACATTTTTTGTATCTAGTGTTTGTGAATTTTGTATATTTGGGTGCGAACATTAGGCGCAAGCCTCGTAAAGTTGCGTGAAACATCCTGTATTAGAACATACTAACATACCAACTTTGTTTTATACAAACAGAATATAAATTAGACTGAGAAAACAACTAATACACTTTGGTGGTAAAGTGTGTTGCCTAGTGTTGAACTACATTACGATATTAAATTTTAAACAGAAAATTTAGATTCTTCAAAAATGGCCAATTTCAGCGCTTTAATACTAATAATTAACCAACATTTAAAAACATTTTGCAGTAAACAAGCATTTTATTAAAAAAACACAAAACATTGTTTCAATTTATATTTGCGTAAAAAGCTAGTCTTAACTTTTGCTTCCTATAAAGAAAATAAATAATAAGTACTTACCTAATAATTTAATTTTTATAATGTGGTTTATAAATTTTGCTTTTTTGATTAAAAAATATACAAGGCATTTTTTTTCAAAATTCTATTTTGCCTATTAATCATAGACCTTCTACAGGGTGAATATAAAGTATGGAACCAAGCGGTTTTAGTTTTAATCATTTGCCTCCAGAAAATAATAATTAATATAAATTAAAGTAATAAAATGTGATGGTATTCTCAGAACGAAATTTTGTTTTGTTTTTGAGTTATGCGATTTTTTTTGTCAAAATTGCAATTTATGTGAAAAAAATTTTTTGAAAAAATTAAATATAAAGCAGATAGTTGTAACCCTAAGAGTATAGCTTTTATGAGAAAAATGATTTTATAGTGGGTTGCCATTTAAAAAAATATTTTTTTTGTAGAACTCAAAAACAAAGGGAAATTTCGAAAAATTTTATTCTTGTTAAATCATCACATTTTTATAGTACTTTATCACTCATCAATTAGTTTTTTCAAAAAATAAATAGTTTAAGCAAAAAACGTTTGGTTCCACACTTTTTATTTACTTGGTATATACATTTTATTATTTTATTATTGCTTCAAATTATTATTACTTCAAATTCTCCTACAAAATAAGTCTAAGTAAACAATAAATTCTTGAGTGGTGATGTTTTTTATTTTGGATTTTTTTTGTTACAATAGAGTCAGTTATATAAAAATTCGCTTATGTCTATAGCCACCTAATACATAATCCTTTCTGGTAGAATGATCTGTTCTTTCTTTAATCATCGATGCAAAAAATATTTTTAACCGAACTGTTGATTTCATTCTATTCCCATAATACTGCAACTTGATGAAAACTAATGTTAGTAAAAAGATTTGGTATACAAAAGTAAATTTTTTATTAGTCGCTTACGCACCAAGCAAATTCTTATCAAAGCGTTCTTTCTTCCTGCATTTCTTTTAGAAGTAATTTACATCTAATTTCATACTATAATCAATGATAATAATTATTTATTCAATCGTTTCTTAAGATTTTCTTTGCATTGTCATCTAATTATATAATAATAAGGAAATTGACCGTTTGCAAATCGTTTTGTTAATAGTCTGACGATTCAAATGAAGCAGCAAATCTTTTTGCCGAGATTAACATAACTGTTTCAACAGAAAATCTAGAGGATATGGGAGTAATCTAATATCTAATTGAATTAATATTCCTGGGCATGTAATAAAACTAAATTTATCTACGAAAAACTGTTTCAAAGTAGCAATTTATAAAATGACAAGTCTTGATAATAATTGACTCTTCGGCGAGGAAAGTGGGTCATTAGATTATTGTCACCGTTGACTGATTTATGTTTTATAAGATGAATATTTAGAAACACATTTTTCCAACCTTCACCTATTGATTTTATATTTATTTCACTTTTATCAATGGAAAGAGAAGTCAGGGATTTTAGAATGAATGACAGGAAAGGTGGTGTAATTAGCCTTTGTGTTTATTTTACACCGTTTCCTATTTTTTTTCTTAAATTTCTCAATACTGTACTACTTTAAATTCAATTTAATTTGCTCTAAACCGCAACCTTTTTCAGAATAACAACATATTGGTTCCGCATATTCTAAATAATATAAAGTCTACCCAAATCAGGGACGACAATTGTGTAAAACCAAGAACCAGCTTTCTGATGGCTTACAGTCTTCCTATTTATGGGAATAAATCACTGGAAAACGAATTGGGTAAAAGTTCTTTGTTGTTAAATCGACCGCAATTTTTGCATTATCACTTCTGTCCTGATAATCCGTTTTCTAAATTGTAATTAAAAGCATAACGAATTTTTGGATTATTTTTAACCAGATTATTCGAAAAACTTGATGATACAAGCAACGAAAAACAAAACGAAAGTAAACAGAATAAAAATTAAGCTAATCCACATATTTTGAGCAAATCTCAGTAGTCGTTCAAGCTGAACATTTTTTTATTTTAATTCCTAAATATGACTTGGCCTATGGCAAGGCTGTTAAATGTTGTAATAAACGTATGACGAATCGATACAGATATGTAATAAAATTCAACAAAGGGTTTAATTATTTGTTCTGCTGGAGTTAGGTAACATTTTCTATTTGTTATAATTTGGGTCATTTTTGGAAGAAAAGTTTTTGTCCTTCATCTCAACGCTTCAATATTTATCCTTTTTTTTTCGTTATTTCAAGACGTTCTTCCCTCGTCTCAGTACATCACAAATTATATCGAAAAAGTAGAGTCACGGTTGATCTAGTGCACACAATCATTTTCGGTTGATTAGTTTATGTTTTTAAGAAATACTGGAATTTAAAGCGAGACAATTCGCTTTCATGTTACGTAGATTTATTGTGATCAGTGGTGGGAAACCTATATAAATGCTTTGCATCGAAAATTGTATCAATTTCCTCGTGCTTACTCATCAAGTGACGTTCAAAATGCTTCTAAAAAGAAGCGTTTTTCTACAGGTGGGTGGTTCAAGTGCAAGTGTATAGTGTTACAAAAATATTTTACAGGTCTGTCTTTTACTCACACTCAAACGAGGCAAATGTCAAGATTACGAGAGCAGCTACGGTGTTGACGAAAGTGATGACCACTCAGAGGCTCAAGAAGATTCCGGACCAACAGACTATTCAAAATATTATGCTGTAGATAGATCAGCGCCTCTAATTTCTTCGGCTCAAGGTAACATAGGCTTTACGAGTCCTATTGAATACGCAGGATTTTTTGCACCTTCAATAGGTAAAACGATTTTTTTTACAAACAAACTATCTTGGTTTTATCAATAATTCCAGATTTTGGAGCCTCGGTCAAACAGGAGGTTCAACAACCGAAGAACCCTTTTGCAGCCCAAACCAAAACATTGGGATTTATTTCTGAACAAAACCAATTTCCGAATTTCTACGCCGCTGGTCATTTTCCCATTGACTATTTTGAAGAAGCGCAAAAAACTCAAAGACAAGAAAACCAAGAAGATGATGGTTTTGAACCATCATCTGGTGTTGACTATATTTCCCATAATCTGCCATTAAATTTGGACGGTGAATACACCTCCGATGTAGAAAAAGTCCAACCGAAACCCAATAAGAAGAAGACCAAGAAGGTGCGCAAATACGATATTGAAAAAGAAGCGTCGGAAGAATTTAAAAATCCGGACTATTCCTACGAATATGAACCATCATCTTCTGGAAAATACACTGATTATAATTCCGGCAAGTCTAGTTCAACTGTATCTCAACAACCCACAGCTGCAGGTTTTTATGAGAAACACACTGAAACCCCGGCGGCCACCCCTTACCAAAAATATAGCTTCCAACCAGTGAACACTGAAAGCAAATATTTGGGATCTTTGATTAGCACCGTGGCCCCTTTTAATCCCTCTTATACCAAAATTCAAAGTACTGTAACTCCAACTTTTGAAACTCAACCCAGTGAAAATATTCCGAGTCACTTGAAAGACAAAAATTGTAGAAGAGTCAGAAAACATATTCCAGGAGATGGAAGAAGACGTAAGAGGGAAGCAATGAATTGTTACGTTTGTGAAGACCAAGAAAACAACTCGAAATATACTCAATGTTCGTATGCTGTTGAACCGGAACCAACTAATGACTATAGCGGAATTTCTGAAAGATATTCTACTCCAGCAAAGCAACCTGATGGTTTTCGCTACAAGAGATACTCTGGGGATGACAATGTTGATCCTTATGAGTATATCAAAGCTCGGACGCAGAAAGCTTTTACTGACGCACAAGAAACCAAAGATTACGAGGAATACAAAATCCCGGAATTTTATGTAGATGAAACTCCGGACAAAAGCTATTCCGAAATACAGTCTGAAGCGATTGCTAAAAATCCGGCAAATTGTCACAAGGAAGAAAGCAATGGAATGACTTGTACTATTTGCAAAGACCCTAAAACTGGGGGAAATTTCGAACAGTGTTCTTACACTTCTGAACCCAAAGAACAAAAATATGCTTACGTGACTGAAAAGAAATACGATAGTGACGAACCCGAAGAAGGAGCAGAATCAAAATCTGAACCCCAAAAGAAGAAAGCAGATAAAGAAAGTAAAGAAGAAGAAAAAAAATTTGATTCATCTGAAGAAAGTGAGAAATTAAAATTTGATGATAAATTAGACTTTAAATCAAGTAACGACAAACCAAAGTTTAGTAGCAAAATTAAAGAATATAAGCCTTTAGTTTTACCAAGTAATGATAATTCACAATTTGCCAAGTTAGATGAATTTAAACCGATTGGTTTATCAACTAACAAAAATTCAAAATTTAGCAAATTGGAAGACTTTAAACCTTCTGAAGAGTACAAATCAAATTATCACGGCCATGACAAATTTAAACTGTCGGATGATTACAATCCTGAAGTAAAAGATGACCCAACTTCAAAAAAAGAACCTTACAATCCCTCTGAAAGTTACCAAAATGGACAACCAGGAAGTTCAGGTGCTCCTAAAAAACTGATCGATGATGATCCTTACGAGATTCCCAAACACTTCGCTGAAAGTACAATCAAGGAGCAAAAAACCGGTGTTCGAGGCCTCGAACCAAGTCTCTATGGAAGTGCTGACTCTTCAGAAGTTGAAGGTGACGATGCTGATTCTTCTAGTGATGTTGAGCCTTACAAAGACATCGATGAGTATCACTTTAAACTCTTCCCCGAATTCTCAAATGAAGAGTCTCAACAGGCCGAAGTTGTGGCTGCAAATCCTTCCGCCGACGCCACCCGAAAAGACGTCGAAGAAGTTTTGGCCGAATTTAGTAAAAAAGACCGTTCTGCATGCAAGAAAGCTGAGAAGAATGGCATGACTTGTTATCTCTGTGTTGATAATAAAGGCATTCAACACGAGGAGTGCATGTACGTGTCCGAATCCAAGCCGCAGGCAAGTCATGTAGCGTACCATGAAGTCAAACAAATAAAATCGCCAAATAGTGAAAATAAAGAACACGAACAAGTCCCAGCCGCTACGGAGATTAAACGCAAACATTTCTTTAAGAAAGTTGTGACCACGCCTACGCCTTTCTCTATGGAAGCGGCAGCGTCGAATGAGTATGAAACCAAAATAAAGTACAACCCGAACAAAAAGAGAAAAAGTGCAAAGAAAGTGAAAGAACCCGTTCATGCGGCTAGTAGTGACGATCCCGAAAAACTACCCGAAGACGATCCTGAAAAGTTACCTGAAGATGAGAACGAACCCGAAACTCCTGCCGAGTTTGTTGTCGGGGATGAGGAAGGGGCGTACAGCGCTGAAACAAAGCCAGTTTATAGCAAAGTTCTGGGAGTGAAACTTCCGAAATACATGATTGAGAAATCAGAATTTGAGAAAGAGTTTGATGAGTTTGCTGGTACACATTAAAAGTAGTCTTTATTTCTTGTGATAGTTTAATTACAGTTAGGTACTTGTGTAATATAGTTATGTTATTAAATTGTTATTGTTATTACTTACATTGTTAAAAATAAAAAATTAAATAAAAAGGATGTTTTTTCTTTGACTTGCGATATCCGGCCTAGTCATTATTTACGGTCATGTTTATTTTTTCGCAATTTGTGGTTATTGGGAAATTGCTTTTGGTATTCCGTAGCAAGTGCGGAGTATCCTTGATTTTTTATTGATTTCACGGTTTACAAAAGTCGGCAAAAAACGTATCTTCAAAAAGAGGAGGAAACATACTTTCAATTGATATACAAAATTTAACTATGTATGAAACAAAAATGAATAAACAATCACTGAAGTTCATTTTGAATTATTTTTTTTAAACTGTATTAGTAGGTACAGTTAAAGCACAATGAGTGTTTCTTCAAGTCATACAGTGGGATAGGATACGTGTGACTAATAAGTTAAGTGACTCATTTGTTGCTAAAATATTCCATTTGCATTACTATTGTTGTTTTTTGTTGATTTTGTTAGAAGGTTCTTTGCAAGTATTCTTAAGCAATTTGAATGTAATTTTTCTGCTATTAAAAAAGAAACGTGTAATGTGGTTTGTAACAATTGAAATAATTGTTTTAAAGGGATTGTATACTTTCACGTCAAAAAAAATTTCATCAACAAACATTTATTCAAAAAAATAAAAATAAAATAAATGTAGTGGAAATTCTGAAAAAATTTAGTTAAACAGAAAAACATTAAAATTTGATAATAAGAGCTTAACATATTTAATTTCTGTTAATCTTGTTTTTTTAATCCATTGTATTAAAATAACTTACAAATGTACAGCGTATTTTAAAACGATTTTCATCTAGTCGCTTATAGAATTTCTATGCAAAATAAAAAATGCCGCTTTAAAAAATTAACTTCAAATTTTAATTTATTTCAATTGACAGCCGTTACTGTTAACAGAACTATCTGATTCAAAAAGTGTAGAGCGGCACAGAAAAATTTACTTGTAAAGAAATTCTATAAACGACTAGATGAAAATCATTTTAGAATACGCTATATTATCAAATTTGTATTCTGTTACATTTTTAGTATGATCGTAAGTTTTTATTACCAAAATCTACTTAAATCAAAAATGTGTAATAAAAATCAGTTGTTATAGTTGTAAAACACTTTGTCTGTAAAAGTATTTTTATGAGATATTTTTAAATAAATATGTTTATAATAATAAGTATAGGCTTTCTTACTAGAACATTAAGAAAAGCAACATTCTTTTAAATGATTTTTTAGCTTAGTTGGAATCTATAGACTCCTTAAGTTGCAGATGTAAAATATTATTGTTTTTTATAAGGATATTAACCCAAAAGAACTTGCTGAAACACTTTGTATCTAATAGTGTAAAGTTTTCATTTGGAAACATACAAATGTTTGTGTCGACACTTATTAAAGAGAATAAAATATTAGCAAAATAATCAAAAAACGAGAAATACTATGTTTGTTTAAATATTTGTTGTTTAATACACATATATGTTACTATAAATATTATTTTTAAATCTATAGTAACAATTATTTTATTATGTAGTCTATAGTCCTTTAAATAGGGTTAAATTTATAGACTACACAACAAAAAATACACAGCAACTATAGATGTAGTTTTCAGTTATCTACAATTTTCAACCTGTTACACGGTTTAAAAAATACGTATTTCATGAGGTTTATTTATTTATATGTATTTATGTTTTATTATAGTCGTACAAAACTTTTATTAACCTTTTTTATCAGAATTTAGTTGCAATCCTAATCAAGGGCGAATTTAATACAGAAGAGTGATGGTAGGATCATAAAAATAAAGAACGAGTACCTACTGTTTACTTTAAATTTTTATAGAAACATGTAGATGTTACAAATAAATTTTTGTTTTGCTTCTACCAAGATCTATTTCTAGATCCGCTACTGCTCTTAATTTTATGCAATTTTAATGTTTTGAGTAAAAAGGTTAAAAAGTAATTAATGATTTATAGTTTCTTTGAATTGTTTCCAAAAATTGCGTGGGGCCGATTTAGGGAAATCAAATTAAAATTTGATTTCAATAAATATTTTCTAAACCAGACCTTTTCTAGTAGGTAATTATTTTTTATTGTTTATTTTAAAAAGATTATTTATAAATAATACAGAAACAGGTCCTCTAGTGTTCATTAATTGTTTCAAGTGCAAAAGTACATTGCAATGTTTTTGTTGTTATGCAAATTCATAAATTAGGTAGTAAATGATGTTTACAAAAGTTAGCACAATAGTTAGTTACAACTACAACATAAGAGGACGTATAATATAGCTAGGTGTGTTTCCTAGTTAGTAATATATAGTTTTGTATAGAACTTTTTTCGTGAACGAATCTCATCTATTCGTTACAGTTAGAACGATGAATTTATGAAAATTGTCCTTTGCACGAATAATAGTAAATAATGCCACTACGGCATCGTTTGCAACAATACCATCATAACTAATCGCAATTTATTAGAAAATATTTTTGAGAGATTGTTATTAGAAGTGTTGGTAAGGATTTTACGATCGTTAGACACAAAGGCTGGGTTGTTTGAGTTGAGCCGCTCACGTGGGTTTTATTTGATTGATGTCTAGTAATACTTCAGGTTCTTTCAGAATTTAAAATAGCGGCCTGTTGATTAGTGAATCACCGATATAATCAAGCAGCGTGTTTGATAACATCTAGAATATTGAGCATTCATCAATTATGTTTGAACACAAGTTGTTTATAAGAAATACCTATTCATTAAAGAGAACAAGATTAAAAAAGCTGGGATACGTAAAAAGATGAAATAATTGATAATTTCATTTATTTTTCTAAATATAAACTGCCTACAACTATGAGTGAATGTGACAGGGTTGGTTTAAGGGCAAGACGGGGCCTGAAATATGTGGGCCTATCACATTTTACAATACAATACTTAACAATACCTTAACAGCGTTGATAAGTGTGCTGCTTCTTTGGTATATTATTACACATTTTACAAAATATAATAAATTACTTCATTTTTTAAAATAATACTTTACGTAATCATCCCTTGACTAATCACTTTGTGGTTAATCAAGCGCTTCAATCCGAATTTCATGCACATTTGCCCATTGATCAAAAGAAACGAGATTTTTACATAATGATTTATTGGTGTCAATGTACTGAAAATTTTCAGAACGTGTAAATATGCATTAAATTCGACGATTTCTAACTGCAGAGAACACAAAATAAATTTCATCTGAGTAAGTACGTTCCTTCTCTGACTAGTTGACAGATACTGGTATTTTTATTATTACTTTGATCGGGATTTAATTATTCTGCCAGGTAATAACGGTAGTGCAAAATAATTCTTGTATCTAATAAAATAAACTATACACAAAGGTAACGTGCAATAAATTTGTCTTGCGCTGTGAAATTTGTTGCACGTTACGCCATGATATGATAAAGTGCACAGACATTAACATAATCCTTAAAACATCTCTTTGGTGTGTCTTACTCACTAATTATATAAAATATATTATATTGTAGAAATAATAATAAAAAAAACATTTGTGAAATGATTATGCAATAAATAATAACATCCTTCGTAGTATTCTGAGACCAATGTACATTACACAATTTGCCGTTTTAGGGAACTCTGCCTCTAAACAAAACAAATCAAATTTATTAAGTCATTTTCTCTAACTAGATTAAACTAAAATATCTACACACTTATACACTTTCCGACCATTCACACTGGTTTTGTTAAACATAACAAGGTTCAAATTTAGCCCAGATTCAAATCGTGAGTGTAGATGTTTTCCGCTTTCAGACACGCACTTCCACTTTCAGTTGGAGAGTTCGCTGAAGCCAAAGAGTTTGCTCTCGTCGCCGCCAGAGGGGAGCGGCTATTCTGTTCAGCGTTTTCAGTCGAGCTTGTGCAGTTCAGGTGGTTGTTCACAGGGGCGTCGTTGTTTGTATAGTAGTACGACGAATCTGAAAAACGCAATTTGTTACATTATTTATTATAGGAAATTTATTAAAGAAAATGGAAATAATCGGATTAAACAAACAAATCTGCTATAAAGCGTTTTTTCTGTTTTGCTCAATTTTTCTCATTATATAATAGATCATTACCGCGGCGCGTTCTTTGATGCTGTTTTATGTGTTTGGTTCATAACTTTAATTACACAATAACATAAATACCATTATCTTTTACCGTGGTAAACGACCTCAACTAGAAATTATTTAATATTGAAAACTGCTTTGTTTCTTAGTGTTGGGCGACAAATCACTTAATTAGCCCAGCGTTGTTTGTTTGGAAAGTGATACAACATTACAAGATAAAATTATCAAAAACACCGAAATAAATCTACAGTTGCAGAAATAGAATTACAACGAAGTATACAAATGATCTTATCGCACAAAAAGAAAACAATGAATAATAAGAGACTGTACAATGGTCAATCAATCAAATTTTGCATCAACATAATCTAAATAGAATGCAAAAAAATCCCGATTTTCATGCAAAATAAAAAATTCTTTTGAATGCTAATGCGATCGGGTGATTTCCCTATTCAAAGCAATTTCTAAATTAATAAATAGCCAATGGTTTTTAAAATTTGTCAGGTAACAATACTCACTGTTTACTTACTGAGTAACCCGCTGGAGGCACTTCCGTAGCCGTAAGTGCCGTAAGCAGTGCCGTACTGACTATAAGCCGTACTATACGCGTAATCAGTCCCTGGCACCACAGTGGTACCTGAAAATAAATAGAAAGAAATGGTAAAATTTTGCAAAAAGTGTGAGGATTCGGGCGAATCGTAGTGAGGGTTTGTTTCATGGGAGACTTTCTTTGATAGTACCTGTGGAATAGCCAAAGCTTGGCAACATGGTCGAGTAGTGTTGATTGGAGCCATTAGATGGCTGTAGTACAGTCAATGCGGCTGGATCAGGTGACCCTGTATGGGACGTGGGCTGACTTCCTGGTTCGGAGGGTAAGGCTAGTGGTAAACCGGGGGAAGCCCCGTCTACTACTGCCCCCAGACCGACCACGCCACTGTACGGTGAGCTAGTTTCGGC